ATCGATCCCCCGGTAGTAGAATTTGTATGGCGAAAAAAAAAATACACATGTAATTGGTGGGATTCGAACTCAGGACACGGTAATTGTTAATGTCAATGTTATCCGCTGGGCTACATCCGAATTCTTGTCATTATTTGGAAACATACTTATTAATCAAAACTTGAATGGGCCAGACAGCTAAAAATTAATTAACAATATCGGGACACCCCTCCATCAGCGGAGACCAAAGAAATCCCCTTTTGATTTCCGCCGCTGCCGCCCTCGCACAGCCGCACTCCCGAAACCAGCTCCCAGCGGCCAGCGCCACTCGAGCATCTGCTCGGCTGCTCCTCCAAGGCTCCTTCAGGCAACGGCGACGGCAGACCAGTTGTTTGCCGACGAATCTCCAACTCCGACCTCCTCTTTCGAATCCAACCTCCTCCTTCTACTCCGCAGGAGCCACTGTTCGCATAACACAGGTAGGTTTCCAAGTTTTCTTGTTTCATAATTTCAATTGTTGTCTGTGAATTTCAATTGGGTGGGGTCCTGTTCTTATTTGGTAGTCATATGTTGCATTTAGGGATGGCAAATTACCCACCCATGGGTAATTATACCCAAACCCAAGTAGACCCATTGATAATGGGTTGGGTATGGGTGAAGTGCATAAGGATTTGGGTAAGGTATGAATATTGCTTTCATAATCTAAATGGGTATGAGTTGGATATGGATATCCATTTACTTGAGGGTGTTTTAACTACACTTCATTTGATCATTTATGGAAAATTTCTATTTACATGTTTGATAAACAAATTTTTTTCATGGGCCAGTTCATTGATACAAACAATATCCAAATACCAAACCCGTCCATTATAATTGGACCTATTTGTAAAACTTTAAAAGTTTAAGTACCAAAATGTAAGACCAAAAAAATTTAGGTACCAAAACGTAATTTTCCATCGATATTTTGAGGACTTATATGCAAAAAAATTAAATTTAGGTACTAAATATGCATATCTATTAAGTTTGGGTACCAAACTGTAATTTGTATTTGGGCATGGGTACAAACCCAAATCCATTTGATATAAACCCAACTCAACCCAAAGTAAATGGGTATGGGTACAAACCCATCAAACTCTACCCATATCCATCTATTTGGATTTCATACCCAACCCAATTGGGTTGGATAGTAAGAAACCCATGGGTATGGGCAAAGTTGCCATCCCTAGTTGCATTCTTCGTTGCCTACTTGCCTTTGTTCTTGTTTGGGTGAGAGCCGAGAGCAGGAGAAGTTTGGATGCTGCGACAGGGTGTTTTGTTCCAGAAATATGCTCTTTATTCATTCCTTAGTTGTTTTTATTGTTGTCTCTGAATTAGGTACAAACAAATGGAAAGATATTACACAAGAAAGGTCCTTAGTAGTCCAAATGTTCAAACTGAAGGTGTTGAAGCTAGTGGAAGTAGACAAGCTCAAACCTTTCCTCCCTCACAGGCAGTGGGAGCTACTCAAACACAAGAACCAAATCTTTCAAGTTCAGTGAATCACTCTCCAGAGAAAAGTGAGTCTTCTTCAGCAAAGTCGGATAGGGAGTTTGATGTAAACTCTTTGCCACTAGATCCGGGATTAAGAGCTAAAGTATCTAGTTTTCATCCCAATATCCGTGATGAGGTTTGAAGATATTATCTTCAAAAGGGTCCTACTCAACCAAAGAGTCATGATTTTCCCTGCAGAAATTTCAATGGAAAGAAGCGTAGATTCCAAGAGTCTTGGTTTAAAAAGCATAATTGGCTTGAGTACAGTGTTTCAGAAGATGCTGCTTACTATCTATACTGCTATGTGTTCAGCAAGAGAGGTGGAAGTGATGATGGCTTTATTGGTGAAGGTTTTAAACATGGAATAAATTGAAAGCTTTTGCTGATCATGTTGGTGCGCATAACAATTACCACAATAGAGCTCAAAACAGTTCTGATCTTTTACTGAAGCAAGCAACATGCATTCAAGTTGCATTATGCAGACAAACAGATCAAGCCAAAAGAGACTATCGAATTCGTTTGGTTGCTTCACTTAATTGCATAAGGTGGCTAGTAGTGAGTGGATTGTCATTTTGAGGGCATAAAGAATTTGCTGCAACTTCAACGAACAGAGGTAACTTTCTTCAGCTATTAGATTTTCATGCTCTTGATAGAGAAGATGTGCAAAGAGTGGTTGGGAAGAATGCTCCAAGAAACCTTCAGCTTACCTCTCCAATGATTCAAAGAGATCTTGTTCATGCCATGGCTTGTGAAACTACTAAGAGACTTATTGCAGATATTGGTAATGATTTTTTCTGTATATTGGTTGATGAGACACGTGATATATCAATGAAAGTATTGTTGGTGGTTTTGTTGAAATCTGATTCTTGTGGTTAGGAGATGATGTGTTGGGAGGTTTTTCTAGTGTAATGCGGGTTTGGTTTGGCATGAATGAAGCTGGCGGTGGAGGTCAGCTGTCTTTTTGGGGCTTGAATTTTGCTGCACTGGTTGTTGTTTGCCTTTTGCGTGGATGCTTTGACTCTTCTCTGATTATGTATCACCGGAGGTGTCTTTTGCTCGTTGTTCGTTGGCTTTGTTCTTGTGCAGGCATGGCCCGATCCATCTAGCCTTTGCTGTTGCTTTCTGTTGGAGTTCTTTGTTTTTTGGTTCCTTTAAAAGTGGCTCGATCCACTTAGTTGGAACTCTATTTGTTCTTGTGGTTCAATCCTTTTGAACCCTGCTGTGTTTTTTAGTTTGTGGTTTTGTTGTATTCGAACAGATGTTTTTTCTCATTTTAATCTATTCACCATTATAAAAAATATATATTTGACTCTTGAGTGGTTATGCAAAGTATCAAGTATGTGTATATAATAAATATATTAGATATATGATTAATTACTTAACTGGTTAATTTGGTTTGATTGATTAGGAGTGTCTGAAACCAAACTAAACCACATAAACCAAACATGCTAAATATTTGGCAAAATACACTTGTATAGCCAAAACTTTGATGGTTTGGCCAAATATAGCCACGTTTGACGAAATACCAAAAATAGCCACTTCCGTCCAATTGTTTGACGGTGTCAAGTAACGGACTGACTGGACTAACGGAATTGCTGAGTTGGTAAAAGTTAATCAATTAAAAATGTGAGGTGGAAAATAAAAATAAATTAAATAAATATTTTTTATTTTCTCTCTCCCAGCTCTCTTCTTCCCCAGCGGAAACTCTCTCGTTTTCCTCTGGCTCTTCAAAAATCCAGAATCTCCATACTTTTTCTTCAAGTACTCCAAATTCGTCTTCTTCTTCTCCAAAAATTGATCACACCCAAACCCACTATATTCCTAACTTGTAAAATCGCATTATATCCCAAACTTCCCATAAATCCATTTTCTTGTTCTCCTCTGTTTGATGTCCGATTGGGGATCTTGAAAGTCTGAAAATCATTCGGCAAGGACTGGATTACAAGAACTGTTTTTTCTAACTGGGATTCTACACCAACATGTCATTGCTCCATCAATGGATTCATCCTCCTCCGCCCAGTTGTCGTCATTCTTAAGGAACCAACTAGGAAATCGAATCTCCCAAGTCCCACCGACCAGAAGCAGCGCCAGTGGCAACTGTGAGGGCAAAAACAAATTTCAGCATCGTCGTTCATCAACCATCTCGCTTCTCTACTTTGGAGTTCGCAACCCAAAAATCCCAAAACAAAACTGGTATAGATGATGAGATCTGAAGAATATCTAAAAAGAAAATATTGAAATCTCCGCCTTCTTCTTTCTTGCAAAAATGTCGCCTTCTTCATCGCGATCGATTTGAGGAAATCATCGTTGCCGTTTTCGTATCTCACCACTTAAGTCTCCCATCGACCGGCGGCGGGTAAAAACCCTACTCTGCGCTCTTGAATCCGGCAAATTAGAAGATCGTCGTTGCGGTTGAGGAGGAATTGGGCGAGGTTTCCCATCGTCGTCGCAGGGGATTTTCATCGGGGAAGACGACCGGAGCTCTGAGACCGACCATGGTGGCAGAACCACCATCTTCTCTCTTCGCCGACGTTGTTGTTGCCGAAGTAGAAAAGTCAGAGTCATCGTCTGCCTTTCCGCATCGTCATCGTTGGCCTCATCCTCCACTCCGTATCTGGGGTTTTAGAAGTGGTGGTTCCTGAATGTTTATCCCCAAATCAATTGGTTTGGGATTCCTCTGTCCGTTGGCGAGAGGAAGAAGATGAAAGGTAATTGTCTTTTTTGTTTTTTGTTTTTTGTTTTTAATTCTGATTAATGAAAATCCTCCCCCCATTTAGGTACGCCGGTAGGATTTTTTTATTTTTATTTTTTTTATCTTTGTAAATGACATGTCAATGGACCCGTCACTAAATGCTGAGGTGGCAACGAAAGAGTGGGTGAGTTGGCAGCTTGGTAAGTATTCTGTTAATTTGACTAACGGTGTTACTGACGCCGTTAAATTATGTAACGGAAATGGCTATATTTGTCATCAAATTTTCAAAATTCTGGCTATTATTGGTATTTGTTCAAAAGTGTCTATTATTGTCACAAACGTCAAAGTTTTGGCTACACAGATGAATTTTGCCTAAATATTTTAAACAAATCAAACCAACTATCCAAATTATCCAAATACCACCGATTAAAACGGTTACCATGTTTGAACACCCCTAAAAGCTATTACATAATAGATATCCAAAAAAAGCTACTACTTAACAGATGCATATCCAATATATTAAAATGCTAGTGTCCATAATTGAACCTGACCATTCACTCTTCATAATAGATGTCCAAAAAAAGGCTACTACTTAACAGATGCATATCCTATATAATTGTCCCAATACATCAATTTGAAAAATCACAACTTCCAAACAACCCCTAAAATGCTAAGTGTCCATAATTGAACCTGACCATTCACTCTACATAATAGATGTCCAAAAAAAGGCTACTACTTAACAGATGCATAATCATATATATTATAATGCTACTAAGTGTCCATAATTTAACCTGGCCATTCACTCTACCAGACAATCTACTTCTTGTTGTTGATCCTCATCCACAAAGCTCGGCTGGTCTTGATTTGCACCTTCCTCCTTCAATGCCTCGGATCCCTTCGTTTCATGTATAACATAGTATGCATATACGGTGCCCAAGAGATTGATGACAGCAAATAAAATGCAGAGACCACTGAACTTCAACTCGTAGTTCATCCTTGGCGAAATATCAATGAGTATACAGCGAGTCAGTTTATTCAAACTGACTCCTAAGCTGATAGCCTGACCTCGAGTTCTGAATGGAAGAACTTCGGAGCTGTAGACGGTCGTGACAGGACCTAGTCCCAAGGTGTATCCGAATATTAAAAGAAACATAAACCATCGATCTTTTTCATCTTCCAGTGGATGAATGAAGCCCAATACACTGGAGGAGATCGTGATAAGCACGAAGCTTGCAAGCAAGAGAGGGCGCCGTCCAATTCTGTCCACCGTGGCCATCGGAATCAAAGTGATGGAAATTTTAATCAAGGAGACCAGAACTCCAACCAGCGTATGACTTCTGAATGGTAAGATTGACATAACGAAGAATACAACGATAAGCTCGACTCCACAAAGCTGTTGCATGATGTTCAAATAAAGAAGCGAGATAACAAGTCGCAGACGTGGCTGTTGGGGATTCCGAAAGAAGCGATACAAAGCGAGGTGGTCCGTATGTTGAGGCAGCAAGACCATAGGTCCAGTCATCAAGCTACTACATAACAGATGTCCATGAATTCTCATATTTGCAATCTCAGTGACGTATAATGTGGTGATCGTAAGTGCGAGTTCGAGAGCAAGAATAAGAAGAAAACATCGCATGACGAACATAGAGATTGATATATAATTTGTTATCACAAGGTATCGCAAAAAGGACAAGATCACGAAGATAATGAGTAGGGGTCGACGAGCGATCAAATCGAATAATATACTGGAGGGTTCTATAGTTAAGATGGAGAGGAACTGGATCTTCTTATCAAAGCCTTTTATTTCCAACTTGTTCGTTTTCAGATCTTGTTTGTTAAAATCGGCTACAATGCTCATAGAGATATCCATGGGAAAAAGATGAATATTACATATTAGTCGTTTCATTTCCATATCAACCTGTATGTAATAGAATCTTGAATTCTCATGTAGAATAATTATAACATTGGAAAAAATCTAAACAAAAAACATTGTTATGATAATAAAAAACTTATTGTATCTACCGAGAAGTTAACTTTGTCCTGCTACAACCACGAGAAAAATGGTGAACCTAGGCACTCTTACCCAAAACCATGTCATTCTGCTCTTCAAGTTTTTTTAAAAGAAATTAAGAGAGTTGTGGGGGGGGGGGGGGGGGGGGGGGAAGAAAGAGCAAATGGATTATAGACTTCCTTACTCACTATTTGATTTTTAAGCTGTAAAGAGTTGGAATGCAGGAAAATAGAGAGAAAGAACAAGGGGTTTACACTGTTGGTTTTTAACGGGAGAGAACTTGAAAGTTGAACATTTTCATATGTTCCAATTGATAAACACATTTTAAGTATAGTCAAAAGTTCTTCCTGTCACAGTGTCAGTCTCAACCTCAACTCTGTCTATCGGATTTTGTTCTTTATCATAGAAAGGAATTTTCTGAGAAGTGGGCAAAAAATGAGAAAATGAAAAGACAAAAGTGAAATATTTATTAAACTGTAAACAAATCATATTCTTTTTGTTATTATTGCTGTACAAGTTTGCGGATTGCATGATCTCGAAAAGTTATTCGAAATAAAAAAAAATTTCGCGATGATAGGATACCCGAGCACATAGTTACGTTCGTTTGATGTTTTAACCTAGGTAAGACATTCGTCGAAAAAAATTAAACTTATAGGCTTTTCATATTCTTATATATTTGGATAAACTAGTACAACCATATATTACCGTTGTGATAATATTAATCCAAATATAGTAATAATAATATTTATAACAATAACAAAAGTTCAAGTGTCTGTCATTTTCCCAAACTTCTCAACTCAAATTAACAAAGTTCAAGTATATGTGAAAAATATTTAAATTACGACTTAAAACAAAAAAGATATAACTAGGTAACATGTATAAGGAAATGCTTATCATTATCTTCTCGAGAATCTTAGGATTTGTTCATCTATTAGAAGATACAAAAGAAAGATTGTGTATGTATCTCTTGATTTTTGCATACACTCTGGGCCTAGAATCTAACACTACGGTCTACAGCTCCGATGTACTGTTATTCAAAACTTGAGGTCAAGCTATTAGCTTAGGAGTGGCTTTGAACAAGATGACTCGTTGTGTTCTCACTTATAATGTTATCACAGCGGTCGACCACCGATCAAATCGGATAATAAACCGCAAGGGAATATAGTTAGGATGGAGAAGAATTGGATCGTCTGATCAAAACTTTTTATTTCCAAGTCGTTCGTCTTCATATCTTGTTTGATAAAATTAGCTACAAGACTCATAGTGATATCTGTCGGAAAAAGTGGAGGATTAAAGAGTAATGGTTTCATGACTATCTCAACCTATATATAATAATATCATGGATTCTATGCTAGCATAATTATAACATTAAACAAACTCTAAAAAACGAAAATTGTTAATCAGAAACTTACTACATCCACCGAAAACTGAACTTTGGCACGCTACAATTTAATACATATTTCTCTTTTATCTTTTCATTTTCTCATCTTCCGCCCTCTTTTCAGAAAACATATTTCCATGATAAAGAAGAAAATATGATAGACAGAGTTGAGGTTGAGACTGACACAGATACTGTGTCAGGAAGAACTATTGACTGCCCTTAAGATGTGTTTATCAATTATAACATATGAAAATGTTCAACTGTCTAGTTCTCTCGTTAAAATCAAACTGTGAAAACCACTTATTCTTTGTCTCTATTTTCCTGCATTCCAACTCACTACTGCTTCAAAATCAAACAATGAGTAAGGACGTCTATAACCCCTTTGCTCTTATTTTCCCTGCCCCCTCACACCCCCCCCCCCCCCCCCCCACAAATTTATTTTATAAAGAACATGAAGAGCAGAGTGACGTGGTTTTGGATGACAGTGCCTTAGTTCACCATTCTTCTTGTAGTTGTAGCATGGTAAAGTTCAATTCTCGGTTTATACAGTAAGATTTTTTTATTATCATAACAATGTTGTATGTTTAGATTTTTTCTATTGTTATAATTATTGAGAATTCATGATTTTATTGTATATAGGTTGATATAGAAATGAAACTATTAATCCTTTTTATAAAAAAACTTGAAGAGCAGAATAATGTGGTTTTGGATGACAGTGCCTAAGTTCAGCATTCTTCTTGTAGTTGTAGCATGGTAAAGTTCAATTCTCGGTTTATACAGTAAGATTTTTTTATTATCATAACAATGTTGTATGTTTAGATTTTTTTCTATTGTTCTAATTATTCTACATGAGAATTCATGATTTTATTGTATATCTACACTACTTATAATACATTTTAAAGACTTTGATTTGCTTCATTTCAAATTTCCTGCAACGAGAGTGAAAGTAGGAAGGGTATATTCGTCTACACAATCAATTTTTTATTTCATATAAAAATATATCAATGCTAGGATTTGAACCACAGTCTCTTCCATCAAAGACAAGAATTGTAACCAAATAGACTAAACACATTTTTTGTACTTTATTAATACAAAACATAGAGGAAGTTAAAATTATGAAAAACAGAGTACTTTTCTATCACGGTTAGTTAGCCCGCTAAGTCTCCTGTAAGTATTTTGTGGTGTTTGACAATTCCATTTTCATATTTTAATAATTAATTTAGAATTTTTTCTAACTTATAAATGAAGGATAATCTTAAAATTTCAACACAAATATCATTGGTTGGAATATTGTGAATTGAATTGAAGTGTTCAATGACGACATAAGAACATTGGTACCATACATTTCAAGAAAAATAAAGATGACAAACACTGATACCAATTATCTCGACAGCCTATGCTAAAATTTGAATTTGTTTAATAACTCAATTTGAGTGATAGTTTAGTCAAAGCAAGCAAATAATTCACGATTGTGTATGAACAAAAATAAAAACGTATGTATTGTATTATGAAAAATGTATTTATTTTAACAATCTAAAAAAACAATCAAGACTTCCATATACAACCCCTTATTTCAGCATTGTAATTAATGAAATAATTTTTATCAACATGATGCAATGTTCAAGCTAAGGTCCAATTATTAATCACCCGTATATAGTATTCAGCTTAGTAAACTATTTCAATATCCACAGCTAACTATTAATGATTACTTGCTTTCTGTTTGAGGGTCTAATGTAACACTCTTGTGCCTACACTCCGATCATTTTTTTCTTTTTTCTAATATTTTTTGCAGTTATTTGTTAAATCAACTATTTTACTAGCTTTCCATTCCTAATTATTCACTGCTTCCTACCACCTTATGGGATGATGAATATTTTTTCATGTATAATCTATTGACTATGAATGTTGCTTATTATTTAAATTCAACGGTATCCAGTTTAGGTTTGATGTCTCCAACATATTCTCACAATCTCTCGAAAAAGCATCATATCTTGCGATTGATATCATAGTTTTGTTAGGTAAAGTTCAACAAACTCAATCAATATTCGAATCTTTGAAGTAGCTATCTACATGTAAAAATGTAGTACTAAGTAGCTAAAACTCTACTTGAGTTAGTACGATCTTTTGCTTTATCAATTTAAATTCAATACATGATTATCTTATTGTAATTTAGTCATACTAATTGTGCAGTAGGGGACATCTTATCAACCATATCGAAAGACTCCTTGATTGATCAGTTTCAGGATGTAATCAATTATACCAAATAGAAGTGATAAAATTTATAAGATGCTCTCAAAGTTTGCTATAATTATTTAGGTTCAACAACACGTTAATCGTAAAGTGGTCATTGGGCATTTGTCTATCTCCTAGCTCGCCTAGACACGCTTAATCGTTGTAATAAAAATAGTAATTTTTAATAATGATGAATGAAGTAACAGTTCTGAAGCACTTTCATACTTCAGTTCAAATGATTTAACAACAAGCAAAATAACTCTCAAGTTTATAATTTTTTAATACCAAATGGTATAATTAATTCATTTATGAGCTGAAATAGCTAATTATAAGCACTTAAATTTTTAAGTTAAAACTCAAATGATACAATTGTTTGACGAAATAGTTTTTATCATAGAGTGGTTCTATCGAGAGAGGTCTCTAAGAAACATGGCTTACTTTATTATTCCTTAGGTAGATATAATATATATCTTCATCGTTACTTTTACATTGGATTCAGTTTAGTATACTTTTTTGTTTAGATAGATTTTTTAATGATTTTTTTGGATATAATATATCATTATTGTATGATGGTGTAAGATATTTGTTCCTCTCATTTTAGGTTCAAATTGATGCATTTTCCCTTTGTCGTTCCCTAATTTTTATGATATTTTTCACTATGAAATATCGTGAGCAGAATCTATACACAACAATTTGTATTTTTTTCGCTTCCTCTTCTCTTGATTCGATATTGTGTCCATATTGATTCTTATATTGATTATTGAATTACTACTTTTTTGTTCTGAAGTTTATGAAACTAAGATGCATTTTTTGAGAAACATGAAACTAAGATGCATATTGATAAAGAATGTAAAGTGTCATCTTCCCTCTTAAGGCTTAAGCACTACATATCATTGTTTACCTACTGTTAAATCAAAGTCTTTCTATCATTGTTTACCTACTGTTAAATCAAAGTCTTTCCCCAAAATATTAGGTATGTTGTTTTTAGTTTTCGCATTCTTTTCGGTTTGATTTAGCTTTT